TAATGTTTGGTTTGTGTGTGTGTGGGGGGGGGGACTTCACTGCTTTCCATTTATCACTTTTTAATTTGATTTATTTATTTTCTAGTTTATTGCATTTTTTTAGTATTTTATTTGTTTTCAATATTTGGTCGAGTCATTGCATGTGATGTCGAGTATGTATGCATGTTTTTCAGTTGTTATTGAATTTCCCCGAAATTAAAATTTTAACCTGCAACAAAAAATTTCTTGGATACATGGAATACACACTCTGAAAGTATATAGTTTGTCACACTTTAGGCTGTGTTAGAGAGACTTGGGAAAGTTTCAATAAAATCGATACCGATATGACACTCAAAACCCTCTCATTATGTGATATCAATTTGGGTGCCCATTATGCCGAAACCTTAGGCTCAAGTTTTCAAAGTAGCTCTTAAGTAGTTTATATTAGAAGTCAATACCATCTTAAGCATAAACTACATAGGGAGTCGATGAATATAAGTGAATGATCCCAAAAATTCTAAAAAAATTATTTGCCATAATAAATTTAAAATAGGGAATGAACCTATTAAGTTTGGTGACCCTCACCTGATCACTTAATCTAACGATTGTGGAACATATAAAAATATAATAAAACAACCCGTCGTCAGTTGATTCAGAGGTGTCTGGTGCTGAACTTGGTAGGGTGGATTACAGTCTGATCCCCCACAACTGCAATTAGTTAAATAAAAGGGGTTACTAAACTTATGTACCAGAACCCCGAGAAAAGGATCATAGTTGCTAACCAATTTCCCTACTATGTGCGTGTATGGATAACTGGCTTAATGTGATTGCGCTTGAATAAAAAGAGTGAAAGAAAATAAGAGATATAGGTTGGGATATAATGGCATTATTTGAATTGGTTTTTATAAAGAGGGAGCCTTTGAACGTCGTGTCGTTATAGTATCATTGGTATTAAACATTTAATACCTATCGATCTAACATTAGCCTAGCAACCATGTATGATTAGGAGTCGTGTCGTGCCTCTGTTTCAAATCGCACTTAATCACTTCTTTTATCTTGTTGGTTGATTGCTTGAGGACAAGCAATACAGGTTTCTCTATATCGCATTTCTTATTTCTATTGTTTCATTTTTTAAAATTTAATTACAATGATGTTCTTAATTTAAATATTTGTGTTTAGTTTGTTTACACTTAATTATATGTTTAGCTAAACTGTCTTGTATCCGTTGTGCGAGGATCGTCGTCTCTGACGGGACTCGGTAATGATGTTGGCTTAAATATTTATTTGAAAATTCTGTTTTGGTCTTTGTTTTTAAACTTAATTTAAATAGCCTTGTCACGAGAGTGAGAAGTTACTTAACATGATTTTTCACGAGAGTGGGAAATTAACTAAGGTTTCAGCCAGAACTGCGAGAGCGTGGGGGTCGAACCAGATAGTAGAAACTAGACATTAATTCTAAACACAGCGAGAGCACTTTATGATTAATTAGAATTTATTGATTTCCAAAAATTAATTTTAATTCAAATGAGACAGTGAGAGCAAAGCATTTTGGTTTAAGAGTATAGTCAGAGTCAATAACACAAGAGTGTGAGATAAAGTCTTTTAAATCAATATTTCCTACTAAACACTTTTCTAACTTCAGTGTAAGCCAACAAGTTACAGAGTCTCTAAGATACGCGAAATACACATTCCGGGCTCTCTTTATTATCATATTTTCTAAGTTTACTTTAGTTCTATCTTTAGTTATCCCTTAATCAATTATTCATTGGCCTTAGCTTTACAAAGCAACGATAGATTAGAGTAGGTTGACATTGGTTTTTGTGGGTTCAACAATCTTTTATATTACTTGTATATTTTCGTACACTTGCGGACGCATAAAAAGCTAAGGGGATCTCAACTCTACTTGTTATCATGCAATGGTGGCCCTAAGGTTAGGATACAAGGAATATTACCTAATTATTATCATGCTTGGTTTAATAACCTAGAGTCTACTTGATCCAAACCAGAATTGAATCAAGAACCTAAGGGATCATGGTATCTTACGAACAAAGAAAGTGTACAAGTATCACAAAGGATACTTAAACAGGTAATAGGCAAGCAATCACACAAACAAGGAGAATGTACAAGTAACACAAAGGATACCTAAAAAGCAGTAGGAAAGTAACGAGAAGCAATCATGACATGCTACAAGATAAGCTCAAGGGAATGTACCTAAACCTTAATTAGGCATCAACTATTCCTAACCAAGTAATAGGACGAGAATGTTATCAAGACAAGCATACGAGAGGTGTAAGATATCCTAAACATGCAATAGGATGAGAATGCTACCAAGACAATCATATAAGATAAGCAAGATATCCTAAACATGCAATAGGATCAGAATGCTATCATGACAAGCATATATACAAGTATCGAACTAATAGGTGAAGTGAAATGCTATCAGAACAAGCACACGTCAAAGATGTTAAACCAACAAGGAATGAGACATGTTATCAAGACAAACATGCGAGATAATAGACCAACAAGCAAGGTACATGCTATCAAGACAAACATGCAAGTTAATAGACCAACAAGCAAGGTGAACTCTATCAAGACAATCATACATGTTATCATGACAAACCTGTTATATATAAACAAACACCTAAACATGTAATAAATGAACAAACTATCATGACAAACATGTATAAGAGATCCAAGCAAGCACCTAAACAAGTAGTAGATGGACATGATATCATGACATGCATTCAAGAGATGTAAAATATCCTAAACATGCAACAGGATGGGGGGTGAATCAAGACATCACAATAAGGGTTACCTAAACATGAATTAGGCTTAAGGTGAATCAGAATATTACAACTAAGGATACCTAAATATGCAATAGGAAAGTGAATCAAGACATCACATAACGTTTATCTAAACATGTGATAGTTAAGTGAATCAAGACATCACAATATGAACATGCATCATAAAATATTTACCTGAACATACATTAAGCTAAGGGTGAATCAAGAAATCACAACTAAGGATACCTAAAAATGCAATAGGCTAAGTGAATAAAGACATCACAATATGAACAATCATCATAAAAGGTTTACCTAATCATGCATTAGGCTAACTGAATCAAGACATCACAATATGGATAGCTAAACATGCAATATGCTAAGTGAATCAAGACATCACAATATGAACATGCATCATAAAAGATTTACCTAAACATGCATTAGGCTAAGGGTGAATAAAGACATCAGAACTAAGGATACCTAAACATGCAATAAACTAAGTGAATCATGACATCACAATATGAACATACATCATAAAAGATTTACCTAAACATGCATTAGGCTAAGGGTGAATCTGGACATCATATAGTGTTTACCTAAATAGGCAATAGGCTAAGTGAATCAGAACATCACACAAGTATTCCTAAACAAGCAATAGAAAAGTGAATCAAGACATCACATACAGGTTGATTATAGAAAGTAGAAAGTGAACAAGCATCCCAACAAGAGTTGAACATGAATTAAAAAGAAAGTGAACAAGCATCACAATAAATAATGAACCTGAATCAAACAGAAAGTGAATTAACATCACAATTTAGGAACATCCAAATTAATTCATAGATACTCAGATAACATAGCCTACAATGGTAGGACTTCCAGTCATACATCTCTATCCTATTTCTCATGGCAAGATTAATTGAAGACGATGCAAAAAAGAGAGAGTAAAGAGAACTCAGGTGATACCTAACGGAGAAGACCTGTTGCCTCTTCAAAGCCACACAAGCCATAAAAAACTCTACGAAAAGCTTCCTTGATATGGAACCAATCCCAAAGCTTGCAAATCACATGAAGGCTTCATGGAGCACAAGGTCTATTTTTATCAAGTTTATGTGAGGAAAATCCCTAAAATGTCGCACAAGCGCATACAACAAACATTGCCTGCTTCGAGGTAGGTCTTCAAATCATAAATTACTTACTTTAAGGTAGGACTTTAAATTAAACATTTCATACTTCAAAGTAGGTCTTCAAATCATAAATTGACTACTTCAAGGTAGGACTTTAAATCAAACATTTCCAACTTCAAGGTAGGAATTCAAATCAGAAATAAATTAAGGTTCAAATTGTACCTAATGGAGAAAGGTTTGTTGCCTCTTCAAAGTCACGCAAGCGAGAAGAAAACTCTACTGAGAGCCTTCTTGAACTTCCTTGATGAAGGTTGCACTTAATTTACTTCGAAGAACTTCTTGCACTCTTCAATGATCTCTTTTATTCAATAATATCACACATGATTGCAATGGTTTTTTTCATATATTTTTATCAACAAAAATTATGACAAGACAAAAATAAAAGGGAAAGCAATTTAAAATTCTAAAGAGAAGGGGTGCAGAGTTGAATCATGGGATTACTTCAACAAAGTGCAAAGCCCAATCTGCATGAGTCCAAAAAAAGCTTTTTAGCATAAGCCTTGTTATACCAAAAATAGCCATCAATAGGCCCAGGGAATAGTGTTTCGGCCCAATCCACATCTCACCAACAATATACAACTCAGATTTTTATTTACATTGAATAAAAAAAATTAAACCAAATTGTAAAAGAGTGGAACGATGAGTTTTGCACTTTGTAGTATTAGGGTTGATACAAGTGACAGTTCAGCTTCTTGAAGAAACCGATCTTCCTTCTTCACTTCACCTACAGTGGCGCAACACCTCTGCCTCCGATCAAAATCCAAACATCACCGCCCTCTCCATCCGTCTATTCCTTTCCGAAACCGCCACTGTGACAACATTCTCTCCGCCGCGACTCACTTCAGTCCACCGCCTGAGCCGCTGTAGGTCTCCCCAGTTATTTGGTGAAGTTTCACTCGCCTCACCCTCATTCGATTAGATATTCGAAACATCTCTTCTTCACCAAAACCGAACGAACGGTCTCTAAGTCGTTCCAGATCGAACACAAACCGCGAAGTTTTGATTCCACTTCTAATCATCACTGTTTACAAATTTGCATCGATTAATAGAGAAAAAGATGAAGACAAACACGGATATTCGAAGTTTTGATTTATCTTACCCACCGGAGCAACACTGGTGGTTCTTCAATCGCGATGACGATGATGCGAAGATCAGAGAATGCTCTTCAATGATTCGGTACACTTTCATTTCGGCTTTTCTCTTTTCTGATTCACTTCTCCTTCTGCTTCTGCGTTATCATTGTGATGTTGTTGATGATGTCGATTTATTGAGCGAAGGCGATGACCAGATGAAGATGGCGATTCGGTTATATTGAGACAGAGATGATGATAATGCAGGTTGCTGATGGAAATGGAAGTGGAGCTTTGATGTTGATTGAAGATCGATGGTGAAGATAATGAAGTGCAGACAAAACGAGGGTTGAAGACTCTACATGATGAAGATAGAAATAGCTTTGTTTAAGAATCAATATATTGAGTCAAGGTCAAGATCCGGAAAATCAATGATTAATCATTCAAAATTTGTAATTCTCTTTGTAATTTTTGCATTCTCCTTGTAAATGCAAATGTACTTGGACTCTTGGTTGAATATTTGATGTACTTTGAATGACATTTAAAATTGACTTGATGATGGATATTATAATGAAACACCACGAAATTGCTTGAAAATGATATGAAATTATGGATGTAATTTGAAACTTGGGACTTGAATTCTTGAGTAAAACTTGAATAAAAGACTTGAACGGAGGACTTGAATGGTTGAACAAATTTAATTCAAAATTGAATTATTTGATCTTGAAAGGAAGTTGAAAAATTTGAATGAACTTATATACCTTATATCCTAAGTGAGCCACTTAAACCTTCTTTCATGAATCAAATCTTGACAAACAAACAAATAATCTAAGAACATTGATTGCAATCCAACCTTAATTCAATAATCACCGATGCTTAAACACAAGTAACTTGGACCACTAGAAACAACCAATCAATGGATCCTCAAATTGAATCTTTGTATCATGGTTCTTCACATGTTGATGAATGATCTCATCACAAGAATAAGGCTTTGAAGAATCTTTTAGACCTCTTGGAGGATATTGACACACTGATCTTTATTGAAGAAACATTATTAGGCTCGAGCAAGATGAACAGGAAACTCTAATTGAGAATTAATTGGATGGAAGCTTGTGATTCGACTTTGGTCAATGAATTGTGATTTCTTGATGATCTTTGAGAAATTTGAATAGAAAGAGACCATGTGTCTTGGTGAGAATAACCCTGATGACTGATATCTCAAACTTATATTGATTGATAGTTGAATCTCCTTCTTGATAGGAGAAACCTTAATTCTCAGATGAACTTTATCCCACAGTCAGAGATTTTATATCATGCACGTATGAATGATATTGAAGCATATGAGCTACTTAGGGTTAAAATTAAGAGGACAAATTTTTGGGTGCAACACAGTCAACTCAACCAACACGACTCCTTTTAGAGATATCTCATAGTCCTTGAAGAGCCCAGAGGGATTGAGCCAGTTAACACCATTCGACCGAGCTTCACGTGCCCTATGATCCTTGATGTCGGCATTACCCAGGTCTCGACCATAGAGTTTTTGGTTAGTCTTAACGAAACTTTTGGTGTCCTTCATATTCAAAACGGCCACCTCCATATGCGGAGTCAGCAAAGTAGAAGAAGTTGAAGATCCTACAACCTCAAAGGATGTGAGTGTAGAATCTACTACACGTTCATATTTTGCATCTTCGTCAGAGAAGATCATCAAAAGAAGACCCAGTAGTGAAAGCTTCCTTAGAACCTCTAGAATTTCCCCCGAGTCAGAATCATCAGATACATGTATAACCTCTTGGATTGATTGATTAGTGACTAAATGATAAGGATTTGAATTAGAATATACATCTTCCCTGACTAAAGAAGAGGAAACATTACTCATAGAATCGCTAGATAAACTTATAGGAGTATCGTTCAGATTGACCATAGTAAAAAAAATGCTAAACAAATGAAAAAGTTTTACGTAATAAGAATACTTGGGAGAATTAGAGCCCGATAAGAAAGCTTAGATTAATTAATTCAATCTTTAGTTGATACTGTGGTTTTTTTTAATAATTTTTATTGGTAGTATTTAGGACTAATTAAGTTTTAACATTATACATTTGGTTGAAAAGTATTCAGTCGACTTTTAGATAATTATTTAGATTGTTTTCCATTAAGTAATTTTGATCATACGACTTTATGTTATCTATTTATGATGGAAGATATTTTTGTCATTAATTATTTATTTTCCTTTTAATTGATGCATGTTACTGAAAATAGTTTTTTTGTTTGATCTATATAATTGTACAGATTGCATTCCAGTTGAGACATAAAAATAAAATATTTCATTATTAAAAATATAGTTCGTACTTTAACTAATTTTTTAATGAAATTAAATAATATATGTTAGGTAAATTAAATTTTCACCTGACTTAAGTTTTGTATTGTTAAGTCGGTCCCAAAGTCCGACTTAACATGTCATGACTATTACAATGCCTCCTCTTAAGTCAGCTACGGAACCGACCTAGAAATTCATTTTTAACCGACTTAATAAATATTATTTTGTATTAGTATGGCCAAACATCATCACTAGAGGCCAACTACGACTTTAACGACTTCCCTAGTAGTCGTGTGACCAACAAGCCTTAGTGGGAATTGTTTTGAGCAGGCTAAAGGATCATTACAAAGGTCCAATCATACGTGAGTCCAATGAATATTATTCAACATATAAAGTCAGCACACATGATATTCAAGGTACACTTTTATGATCTCCACTTTTCATTATACTCATCTTTGACTTTGAATTGACTTGGGGGTTGAAGTGTTAATCTTACAGGTCCACCACACACCACCATATTGGAGATCAGTGCCGCCGATTCTTGAGTCTTACGTCATCAATAAACACCAATTTTGATTCCACAACGAAACATAATTATTGAAATTGAAGAAGAATATGAGGTTCATATCATCTTAGGAGGACCATTCTTATGTACTACAAAGACTAATTTTCTACATTGGCTACAGATTTCTTACCCACTCACACTAAAGACGGAAGCAAGACAACAAGGTGATAAGATAAGAGCAAATAAGGTTGATGACAACTCTAACATAAAGTATCTTCTCTAACTTGGGAGGTGATACATCAAGCTAATGTTAAACGAGCGTTGGATGAAACGTAATCCATCAAAATCAAATTTTACTATTTCATTTATATTTTACTTTTATTATTATTATGGTTGAATAAAGTTTAGCATAAGAGAACAAATTGAAAAAGTTTGGGATAGAAATATGAGCTTGAAAGAATCAGAATTATAGATCTTTAAAAATTTGCAAAAATAGCGCCATACCACTTGTAGTAGTGGTGCGATGCGAACTCCCTGAATTTTAGTGTTTCACTCTCCAATTTGAACTCAGAGTGAATATTCATTTAAAATATAGTCCTTATTGTTGAGATAGCATCGCGTCGATGAACATAATGGTGTGATTATTTCATTTTTATCTATTACATGCCTATTTGGAAAATGAAATAGTGGCACGATGGCCATATAACTGTGGTGTGATGTATAGTAATTCAATAAATATGAGTTATTATTTTCCCTATTTCTCTTTGATAATTCTCTTATGTACTCTCATATTTTCTTACAATCTAAGTTACTGAAACCCTAAGAAATTATTCTTTATCTATTTTCTTAACCTCACCATTGATCCACCTCGCAAGCAAAGAAAATCCAACGCGTCCTTAAGTGAGTAAGAATTTTCCCATGATTAGTTTATTATTTAAAATGCCTTACCGTACTGATAAATGATAGATCATGCAATGTTAATGCTGAAAAGGAATTTCAATGGAGTGATCTAGATGAGCACCCTGGAGTTAAAGCTAATTTTGAGGCTATATATTATGAGTACTTTAATGGCATCTTAGCATACATATTCAATTGCCCTATGGGGCTCAAGTTCTTTGCAAACATTCAAGGAAATACTTCAAAATATGCCTCTTTAGATCGAGGAAAAGTGGTTGACTACAGAGCAATCAACAATCTCCTTCTATTTAAAGCACCACTAGTATGTTGGATTCATAAGAGGCGAAATTTGAATCCAACTCCCGATCAAGAGGGATGGGAAATTATTTTGTAAGAAATTTCCCAAGAATGAGTATCTTGGTTCTAGATAGAAGGGAGATTTATATCAAATTTATTGGCTGCCAAGCTTGTTCTAGATAGAAAAACACAAGAAAATGGGGGTTTGAATTGGTGTTTTCAAAAATAAAACAGTATGACATGTTTGGTTATCCTGGTTCGTTTGAACTCAAACTAGTCCAGTTCACCCGTTAAGGTGATTTCGCCTCTCTCAAACGAGGTCTTAATCAACTAATCAAAACTTTGATTACACAATTACAATGACTACCGGCAATTTATTCTTGAGTCTAAACCACAACTTCTTTTCTTAAGGTATTATAAAATATAAATCAATAAAGATGTGTACATATGGTGTTTCTAAAAAACTATATCACAACAGTGATGTATACACAAGATTAAAGCACAAGAGAGAGCTAGTAAAGATATTCCTCTTTGTATGTGCAGTAGTATTGTGTTGATTCTTCTTCATAGTATTCTTTATATAGGCGAGGCACATGATACATGAGAAGATGAATTTGGAAAGTTTATAAAGAGTTATTAATGCACTTTCCACAAATACAGGTCTTGTTTTGTTCTATCCGTTACTCTTTGATTTGTAATGAATGACTTGTAATGCATCCGAACTTTTCTTCTTTGAGATCTTATGAGAATATTATCGTTGATGATTTAGATCCTCAAATTTTCTTGATATTCATATGATTAGAACTTTGGATGAGACACACACGTTGAAGCTTTCTTTGCACTTTTGAGAGTATATACTTATCTGAGTATAGCTTGAGCTTAAATGTTGAATCTTTAGAACTTTTGTATAGATGAGTGTGTTGAGACTTCTTTTGTTCTTCCAGAACTTCACTTATCAGAGTATCAAAATTTTACTTGCAGAGTTGGTGCTTCAGAACTTCTTCTATTGATCGTGTTACACAAATTTGCTTCTAAGTTTGTACGTTGTGTCTAATCAGAGCTTCAGAACTTAAATCTCTCATCATCTTCTATGCACTTATTATCAAAACTTCTCTACATATATAAATATATTATTAGAGAGCATATTTGTTCTTTATATATATCATGTATTCATTATCATCAAAACTATTACTAAGATGTAGAACCAAATTATGTTCTAACAATCTCCCCAT